ATTCTAACGTATTCTAATGTATTCTAATTTGAACGTATATAAATATCCTTTTGAGAGAACTGTTTTGTTTTCCTACGCAAGTTTGAGATCCTTCAATGAATGCGATACTTATAGGTTACGCTCACGTTGTTTTGCTTAATGTTACCAATCAAAGCGGAAGGTATTAGTACATTACAAAATGAGTTTGAGGCTAAGGTTGAATCATTATTTGTATTTTAAAGATCTGCAGCACACACTTCCCCCAACAATATATCTGAAATGTTTCTTATTTCAAACATGGTGTTTGATTAGTAACCTACTTTACATTGTGATTTATCAGAGTAAGCTCCTTGTGAACATTGTTGTGTTGACTTTCATTCTGGTTCCGAGCTCTTGACCAGCCACAAGAGAGCAAAGACATTTTCAGTTCAAATTAATATCAAGGTGCCTATCATAATCATGGGCAAATTTTTGCAACATTCAGAATTAATGTTGAATTGTTTTGAAGAAACTTACGACCAAAAAAACATTCTTACCTACACCTGTACTCCCTTTATAAGGTTTTTAATATAATGATGACTATATAGTTTAGAGCAACAGTGAATTATCCTATATTAACTATAAATGATCAGTAGGGAATGCAGCATATTGGCCAAACTTAAGAAAACAAGCAATAATAATTCAGAAGTGTTTACAGACTTTGGCTTGTATGTATGCGTATACATATATTTGCAACCCTCCTTCGCCAATATTTGGCCAATGCACCTCATAAAATCTCAATAGCATTTCATTGAAATTTGAAACTGAAATGGTTACTATATTTATTACAGAATATTTAGTATTACGAAAGGGCTTGATTTTCATGTCTTGGTATACACTACAAAATTACATTTGTATAGTGCCTTTCACATTGGGAAGGCGTTCCTGGTATAGTCAGTGAATTCAACAAGCCACCATAGCCAGCGTAGTGGGTTCTGCACACCACCTATGAGAGCCTGCCAATCTTATCATTAGCAGGGCATATCAGTACCATTCTACTATAATATCAGCTTGTGTCATGGCTATGTCCTCCTCAACAGTGGGGAAATTAGGGAAGGGGGTAGGAGGGAGGAGTGGAAGGGTCCAGGGAGCAGTTAGAGGTAGGGAGACCAAATTTCCCCTATTTCCAATGATGTATTGTACTGGAGCCAAATTTGCCCTGTCTTAAATTCAGCAACAAACTGAGTAAAACAATAAAATTGTAAAACAGATACACTCATCAGAGAAATAGAGCCTTTAATCCAAAAAGTTTCGATAGTACCCACAGCATCAGGAATTATGGCGAGTTCACATTCTTTATTCATGTCCCTGGATTTGGTTTACAAAATATGGTCACCTTATTAGAGACCCCTATAAGGTGTCACATTTAGATGTCAATATTGAAGAGTGGGTAGTGAACCTGTGTTTTGCTATTGCTGCTCTTATACATGTGCTTGATCTATTAGTTATAAATACAGGGTTTTGTTTTAAGCAAAGTCTGTGTTTAATTACTTCAGCCACCCGAATACTAGATGGTAGCATTCTCGCCTCTAAGGTTGCGGGTTCAAACCCATGTCAGGATTTTGAACTCATATAATCTAAGATGATACTCCATCACAGTGCTGGGAGCGTGCTGCTTTGGTTGAGTTGAAATCCTTCGGTTAAGACCCTTTGGAAGGTCCCGTCTGCCTGTTCAAAATTCAAAAAGAGAAGAGAGTTTTTCCCCTGTCCTGGCCAACAATCCCCCAAATACAATTGGTCTTTTACTTCATGGCTGTTTGAAAGACATCGCCTTGTGCAAATTGCCTACCATGTTCACCCAGCCACAGCTACTACACATAACAATGTATCCTGTGAAGCATTTTGAGACATCCTCTTGATGCAAAAGGCACTATATCAAATACAAGGATTGTTGTTATTATTTGTTGCTACCATTATGTTCAATCCACTGTCTGTGCTAAGTTAGCTGGTCTTGGCAAGGAGTGGCAGTTGAAGGAGTTACAACTGGCCTTGATGCCACGGAGTGGAGAAGGATGGAGGGAATATCAGCCAGAATTCCATCTCATTATCACACGCAGCCTAGTGATCCCATTCTAGAAACACTTGTGAGGAGCCATCACATGTGTTTGTGATTTCCACTGACTCAACAGCCACTCGCGCACACACTTGCCATTGATAGGTGAAGAATTAACATTTTGACAAGGTAACAGTGTTGTCAGAATCTGTAGAACCACAGCTCAGCAATAAACCCCGCTTTCAGAGGAGAGAAAATGTATTTTAAAAAAGTAATAAGGCTTTAGTAAGCAAGATGCTGAACCTATAGCCCTTTAACATTAATGAAACTTGAACATAGCTATCAGCCTGGCTCAGTTGATCGCACTCTCGCCTCTGAGTCAGACTTTTATGGCTTCAAGCCCCATAGGACTAAGTTCAAAATTGGGGTTTTAGTCTAAGATGATATTCCAATGCGATGCTGGGGATGTATTGCATTGTCGGAGGTGTCGTCCTTTGGTTGAGACATTAAACCGAGGTCCCATTTGCTTGTTCAGGTGGACCTTACAAATCTCATAACACCATTTGAAAAAGAGAAGGGAGTTTTCCCCTTTGTCCTGGTCTACAATCCCCCAGATAAAATTGATCATTCACTTAATGGCTACCTGTGTGACGTTGGTGTACTTAAATTGGCTGCCTCATTTGCCCACAAACGCACAGTCACTATACTTCATAGTAAAATCCTGTGAAGTGCTTTGAGACATTTCGACAATGTGATAAGGTGCTGTAACAAATACAAATATTATTATATATGCATCATATATTATTATTATATATTGCATGCCTTTCATAAATCTAAAAATGTGCCTTCCTCCACATCTTCAGTTTATCAATTCAATACTGAATTGTCATACTGCACCTTAACAGTATTCAAGTTAAAGGATGGATTAACCCCTAAATAAGTTCTGAGGGTAAAATTTGCTTCAGCATGTTAATTAACTTGCCATTGGTGGTACACACAGGAATATGCCATTGGATGCATGTCTCATGGGCAGGTACTGTTCCAACATGTCAGAGATGGGAGCAGTTAGCAGGGCTCCTGTTGGGCTTTCCAGAGCTGGCAAGGTCGAGGGTTGAAACGTGTATATGTAGCAAAGGTGGTCCCACGGTCAGAGCAGGCAAACAATCACAATACTTCTTGTTCCTTTACTCCCTGTGTCAGACTTATCAAAGACACAATTGCAGCAGAGTTAATGAATGATCTCTCTTGGGCAAAAAAATCCCCCTTATGCAAATAGGTCTCATAGTGAAGAGTTTCAGATTTAAATCATAAAATAGGTGTAGACAAATATGCAAACTTCTCAAAGTCGGGACTCTCCACAATCACGATGTGCAATTTTTCTGATCAATATCATCACATCATATACCACTAATTTCACTCTATATTAGCCACTGCTTGATGGAGTAAGAGGAGATCTGAATATGCACTGCATTGCACATAAAAAGAGCAATGCTTAGCTATGGATGAAAGCAATTAATTGCAAGTAATGTAAGCGCAGTTTTGCTCTTCGAACCATTTTGTCCCATAGAAGGAATTAGTTAAACTACATTTAAATATTTATGCTTACTATTTCAGTTTTCAGCAGAGCTTTGAGTGAAACAAGTTTACAATCAAAAAGATCCACAAGCTATGTCATTTCCCATACTCCATAACTGAAATATGTCTTTACCAGGAACCAAAGTTTTATTGGTTCCAGTTTCAAATGCAGTACTTTTGTTATTTTCCTGCCTTTGCTTGCTAGAATCATAGAGGTTTACAGCGCAGGAAGAGGGCATTCAGTCCTTTGAGTCTGCACTGGCTCTCAGAGCAAAATGTTCATTCAATCTCACTGCCCTACTCTATCCCCATGCCCTTGCAATCCTCCAATTTCATAAACCCACAATGGACTACCACCATTCTTGGCAGAACATTCCACATCTCAACAGCTCTCCGAGTCAAAAAACAAAAATTCTCTTCAGATCTTGTTTTGCTCTGTTTGTCTTATTTCTATATCCTTTCTATCCAAATCACCATGTTACCCCAGTTCTATGCCCTCTGAGTTTCTCCACCGGTTTTCCATATGGCACCCTTATCAAACCCCTTCTGGAAATCGAAAAACATAATAATAATATAATAATCCTTGCATTTGATATAGCGCTTTTCACGTCGGGAGGACGTCCCAAAGCGCTTCACAGAACACACTGTAAAGTGAATTGACTGTATATTTGTGGGCGAACGCGGCAGCCAATTGTGCACAGCAATGTCCTACAAACAGTCGTAGATTGAAAATGACCAATTTAATTATTGGCTTTGGTTTTTGGAGGGATTATTATTAGGCGTGTGGAGTAAGGAAACTTGCCCAAGGTTTCGCCCTGACCTGCCTGGAAATGAACTCAGGTCTCTCGTTTGCAAAGCGAGTGCTCTAACCACTGAGCTACAGGACTCCACAATATCCATAGCATTGCCTTTATCAATACTTTCAGTTACTACAGAGAATTGACTCAATTCTGACATTCTTTTGCCGAACATGTCACTTTGGAGCCAGTTCAGCTCCAAGGAGATCCCATTTACCTCATCCCCAAGGAGAATAGTAACTAGTTGGTCTTTTGATATTCCACTGCCTATCTCCACTGAATGTGACTTGCAAGACATTCTTTTTATGAAGAAATAGCTGCATAGTGATATTTTGATCAATAAGGCATCATATTAGAAATCACCCACTCTCTTGGGTTGCAATTGTAATTGGTGTTATTCATAGAGCCTTTAGTGATACTCGCTGCAAATGGGATTATCCCATTGGAACAACAGATTGTCAAAGGCATTACATGTAACACTAACAGGAATTTTAGCCCACAAGCCTGCACCATCAGTGGAAATCATCCACACTAGTACAGTACCATCAGTACTGAAAATGTATGGAAATAAGCCAGATCACTAAATTACGATAAAATCAATCCATGTAGCCACTTACCTGCTCATAATTGCTTTCTTCTTCCATCTCAACGGTGTTTAATAATTCACAGATTGAGCCATTTCTTTGGATTAATCAAGCGTACCTATGAAATAAATTAGTCACATATCATATGTGTTTATTTTTAATTTTGCATTTTATTTTCTTCCTGTCAAACTTTTATACCTGTTGTAAGATTGCAATTCCCGCAGATTACCCAGGGTGGTTACTTCACTCATGATTTATTCCATACTTGCTAATGGAAAAATGGTAAAAAAAAGTACAATGAAGGCACAATATTGTGTGCCCTTGCAGCTTGAGATATAAGACTAATCACCACCTTTCTGAGTTCCTGAGATTGAAAAAACTTCAAGGAGATCCATGTACATCCCTCGTGGCCAGCTCTAGGAGGAATTTGCCAAAGCCTGTCTGCACATCAACCACCTGACTAATACGTCACAACCCCCGTCTGCCTGTTCAGATGGACATTAAGGGTCCCAAGGCACTATACAAAAAGAGAAGGGAGTTTATCCCAGTGTCCAAGCCAACAATCCCCACAAATAAATTTGTTTGATCACTTCCTGGCTATTTGCCCACCAAAAAACAAACACTCACTACACTTTACAACATAAAGTCCTCCTGAGGTGAAAGTGCTGCATCAAATGTACGGATTATTATTATTATCTAACATCACACAATTTACATGATTTTATCAAATGTTTGTGCATGTGAAAAAAAAGGTCAGTTTGCTGCAAACACCTGTTCACAACCCAATGCTGAGGTGCAAAGACAATGTCAAAGTGTCAGTTGCGAGGTGAACTGCCAGTGCCTCCAGTGTCTGTCATAGTTCAAGCCATTGGAGCCACAGTACAAAAGAGTTGGGAATATGACAATTACACCAGCAGGAACTCAGGGTTGGCAGGCACTGAATAATGAGGTGCTAATTGTTCACCTAAATGAGGCAGTTTAATAGATTAGCTTTTCTAAAGGTATGAAAGAACCATTGTGATTTGCTTTTTAAAGTGTGCATTACAAATTGAAAAAATGTACACTTAAATGAGATGTTATACATTTCAGGGAACATATTTCCATAAAATTTATGAGGGAATTCGTCTTTTTCAACTCTATACATCCAAATTAATATACATTTAATTGAAACAGATCGTAATAGGCATAAAAACAGGTCAATTAAATAAAATTAATTGACCATATTGCTTCTGCTTTGTACCATCTTTTAGATATCCCAAAATATTTATCACTTGGAGGAGGTAAATAACCACAGGTAAAACTTCCAAGAAGATGAACCTGCAAAATGTTCTCCCTGATTCATGATAGTAATCATATAAAACCCCAGGATATTAATGGAACATGACATTATACATTATTTAATCGAGATGACTTGTATTGCAGAGCTATTTCCACCAACCCGGGAAACAGTGCTCCATATATTTAATATCTATGCTGTATGCATCCATATAACTCTTAATCTTCTTAGTAATCACATATTTATCCAACTCCTTTTTAAAAAGAGTTAATTGATCTATGAGCATCACCTAATTTTGAAGGAAGTCTATTGCATATTTCCATTATTTTGTTGGGGGGAAAGTCATTTTCTAATCTCTAAATGTTAATTGTGGCTTGTTAATTTCCCATTGTTGCCTTCCAGTCCTCACACATTTTAAATGAAATAACCGCCTTATATTTACATTACCTTGTCTTTCAGTATTTTAATGAACTGGGTCATGTCCCCAATAAAACAAATGTAATGTCAGCATCAAGGAATCCCAGGCTGAAAATCCCAGGGAGCAGATGAAAGCTCCCTCTACTCTGATCAAACTCTAACAGCAAAAATATCATTTTGCACCAATAGAACTTTTCAATTCCCGACAGTAGCCATCCTGAGAGATTAGCAGCTGCATCTTCCAACTGGTGGACACATTACTCAATGGATAGAGTTGTGTGTCTGAGCTGTGAGCAAGATAGTGTCACTGCTCTTATGCATTTCATGATGAGTTGAATTGCTCTTCAAGGAGCTCACAAGGGAGTTCCTGGTATTTACTATCCATCTTGCAAAGGCTCTACAGACTAACTTTACTTTGAGCTCCTTTGAGAACAGAATACCCAAAATGCAGAATAGTCACCAAATTTCTCTTGTATATCAGTGACTTTAGCAATGGGTGGTTAGAATTTTAAAAAAATTTAAAATCCAAATGTTTTCACTTCCAGCAACCCATAACATAAATGATGAACATTTTCCTTGCCATATCAATTTTAATAATTTGTTTTATTTCTTTATGGCATTTGTTTAAATAAGGTTTGTAATAGGCACCAGGATAATTCAATGACCTTCAGCCATGCCACCATGTAGCTCAGTGGTTAGAGCACTCGCTTTGCAAGCGAGAGACCTGAGTACAATTCCAGACAGGGCGAAACCTTGGGCAAGTTTCCTTACTCCACACAGAGCCTAATAATAATCCCTCCAAAACCAAAAACAATAATAAATTGGTCATTTTCAATCCACGACTGTTTGTGGGACATTGCTGTGCGCAATTGGCTGCCGTGTTCGCCCACAAATATACAGTCAATTCACTTTACAGTGTGTTTGGTGAAGCGCTTTGGGACGTCCTCCCGACGTGAAAAGCGCTATATCAAATGTAAGGATTATTATTATTATTATTATACCATACATTCCAGCTTTTCCTATTGTACACTTTTTTAAAAAATTTGGATCCATTGCTATCCACCATTTTATTTTTCCACATATTTAGTTTTCTCCACTTTTATTTCTTTCCTTTCTCATTTTATTCTGGTTTCTTATTCTTCAATTTCACTTGTGCAATATTGCTGGAGCAGATTTGCTGTTGTGTTTGCTTACATATCAATACTTAATATTAGATATACCCATATTATTGATTTCCAGATGATCACCTCCATTCTTTGATTGTGGTGCTAATTTACATTTCATCTGTTTTATGATTCAGAGAAAAGTGGATTATTTCTCCCATTTATCCTGCTTTATACTTAATTCCCCTCTTAATGCAAATGTATCCCCAAATTCAAATCAATTGGCTAATCATCCCATTGTTGATGGGTTGATGCCAGAAGAAGATTTGTTGCTGCTTTTGTCTATATAAAATTACTTATTAATTTTCTTAATTGTTTAATCAATTATATTGTGTAAAGCACTCCAAAACATTATTTTTTTATGTGAAAGGCAATAGAATCCAAGTTATTCTAAATGCAAATGATTATAATTGTTATTGACAATAAAAAAACAGAGAAATATCAGTGAATTGGGATTAGAGCACAACTCCTGTGGTTGAACTAATACCAGTAAAATAAAATTATATACACAGTATTTTTATCTTAACATTTGGGCATGTGAATCAAACATGACTTGAACAGATCAAGGAAAAACAATTATGATTCACAAACTCTTCCCAGATACATTATCAAGAATTGATCAAATACACTGTTTGGATTCTTGTTACCACAAAGAAGAAGACTCAGTAGCCCATTGAACCTTTACTGGTGCCAGCTCTTCAACTGGAGCTGTATACTCTAATCTCAATAACGGGCTCTTTCCTCATACCCTCTTTTATCTCTCTTCAAATAGTTATCCAATCCCTTTTTAAATTCTGTCATGGTCCTTTCTTCCATAATAGACTATTGTGAAGAGTTTAGGTATCATGAATAAACACTATAGCAATGCATTGTGTTTGTGCTATAATGGATCTTAGGGAGAAGGGAGTTCTGTCACCAAATTTACAACACAGAGATCTTGCAACAGGTCAAAAACCTCATTAGCAAACCAATGGATTTAGGACATTAAAAGACAACTCCATGTTTAACTTTGTTCATTCACATCACTCAGTTGCTAAAGAAAGTGTGTACTGCAGCAGATACAGTCTAAATGTTTGCTCTGCTGTTTCCATTGTTATGTTATATATATTATTATTTATTTAATTTCTATAAATATAATATTGTTTTGAAGTACCATGCACTCATCTGTTTATTGCTTTGGTAACTTGTGTTTGAAAGAGAAATTCCTCATATCAAACAGCAACATAGTTTACAAAATAACAATGTAACTTTAGTTTAAAGAGTTAAATTTAACTGTATCACAGCTTTCAAGCGAAATTCACAGTGCTTACACATTGTTTCAAACATGTTTAGAAGACAATGGTTCTCTCTGCCTCAATCCTCATGCCTTACCCCCTCCTTCCCTATCTTCAGATCGCAGCTGAAGAGCTTCCTCTTCAACCGTGTCTATAATCACCTCCCTCTCCCCCTGGCTAGACATCAAGCTGTGCTATTGCTAAGTAAATATTTTTTCATAATAAGAATAATAATCCTTGCATTTGATATAGCGCTTTTCACGTCGGGAGGACGTCCCAAAGCGCTTCACAGAACACACTGTAAAGTGAATTGACTGTATATTTGTGGGTGAACGCAGCAGCCAATTGCGCACAGCAATGTCCCACAAACAGTCGTAGATTGAAAATGACCAATTTATTATTGTTTTTGATGCTGGAGGGATTATTATTAGGCTCTGTGTGGAGTAAGGAAACTTGCCCAAGGTTTCTCCCTGCCTGGAATTGAACTCAGGTCTCTCACTTGCAAAGCGAGTGCTCTAACCACTGAGCTACAGGACTCCAAATAATAATAATAATAGAGTATACCATCCAAAATTGAAACCAAGCTCCCTACAGCATCCTTGAGTCATTTAGACAATGAAGAGCCAAGTTTATTTTAACACATTTAAGATAATAACTGTTTGAAGCCTTCTGACTTTGTGCGTAAATTATTTTAGTTTCTTTTTCAGCAGACATTTTACAGCAATAATCCTTGCAATAGATTTGACATTCACGTCTTCCAGACGTTTCAAAGCGCTTCATATAATATACTGTAAAGTGAATTGACTGTATATTTGTGGGCGAAATGTGGCAGCCAATTATGCACAGCAGTGTCCCACAAATAGTCTTGAACTGAGTGACCCAATTATTATTGTTTTTTTTAGGGATTATTATCCCGGAAAAGCATTCCGCCAATTGACTAACAACCAGGTTCCTACTTACTGTTAGGTAAACAGAGGCATGTGGAGTAAGGAAACCTGCCCAATATTTCGCCCCGCCGGGAATCAAACCCAGGTCTCTCACTTGTGAGGCGAGTGCTCCAACCATGGAGCTACAGGACTCCAGTTTTTTTAGACTTTTAGTCTTTAAAATTTTAGTCTTTCAAGTTAAATTTTCCACTTCTTTCTCTCTCCCCATTCCCTCTTTGAACGTCTCCAATCCAGCTTCCGTGCTGCCACAGCATGGAACCAGCCCTGGTCAAAGTCACTGATGACATTTTGAACATCTGTGATCAGGGCTCCCTCTGCCTCCTTGTCCTTCTCGACCTCTCTGCTGCCTTCGACACTGTCGACCACTCCATCCTCATATACCGCCTCTCCACTTTACTCAAACTTCACGGATCTGCCCTGGCCTGGTTCGATTCCTATCTCTCTCACCGTCTCCACTTCGTTGTCTCTAACGGCTTCTCCTCCAGTCTCCGCACTATCACATCTGTGGTCCCCCAGGGCCCTGTCCTTGGCCCTCTCTTTTTTAATATCTGCATGCTCCGCCTTGGTGACATCATCTGCAGACATGGGGTCAACTTCCACATGTATGCGGATGACACCCAACTCTATCTTTCTGCCTCCACCCTCAACTCCAGGACCGTGTCCTCTCCCGCACCAAACTCCGTGACCCCATCTCCCCCACTCTCGCCTGACTCCACTGGCTCCCTATCCTTCAGAGGATCCAGTTCAAGATCGTTGATCTTGACATACAAAGCCCTCCATGGCCTCGCCCCACCCTACCTCTGCAACCTCCTAATCCCCTACCAACCTGCCCGTTCCCTCCTCTCAGCCGGCTCTGGACTGCTCCACGTCCCTCGACCCACCCGCCCCACCATTGGGGGAGAGCCTTCAGCCACTCTGCCCCCAACCGCTGGAATTCCATCCCCCAGTCACTCCACCTCGCCCCCTCCTTAGCCTCCTTCAAGTCCCGCCTCAAGACCCGCCGCTTTGACCATGCCATCGGCCACCCCCTTCCCCTCCCCTCCCTTCCGCCCAACCCCAGCTCCAGTCTGAAATGCTGTACTCTGTCCAGCACCTTGGGACGTCCTCCCGACGTGAAAGGCGCTATACAAATGTAATCTTGTTGTTAAATTCAATGTGCTGTAAATTAGGAAACAAAACACAAAAAGTTAAGCCTCCACAAACTTCTAAGTGCTGTGTAAACAAGCACATTACAGGCATAAAATATTCAGTGAATTTGGAGTACAGTATTGTTTAATGGAACTATTTAAACCATTGCTTTTGGTCAGTGGGTATCTGTCACAAACAGAAACCCATCACCATGTTTAAGAGTGTCCAAACAAAACACTGAGAGTTCCATATATGTACGGTTAAGATATCAGGGTACATTGTGTTCACTTGCCTGTATTCTCCATTTGTCATTATATGTTAATCTATAGTACATTTCGTCAAATGACCGCCTGTTGCTGTAACAATGCAATTTGACCATGAAGCAGCATTAAATTTATTCCTTTTCACATTGTAACAATAATTCTTTACACTGGTTAAAGAGAGGTGGTCGGCGTGGGGGTAAGTATTATAATAAATAAATAGCCAATACTTACAGGGTCTCTCTCTTGGTTTAAAAAAAAGTTGCAAGAAGAATTCATCACCTCTTTGCCTAGGATATAAAGGAAAATAAAGATGAGGAGGAGCTGTGTGATGGCGAGGAGTGAAGCAATGCTGAGGATATCTTCACCTAACTGTGTCTAGAGAGGTGAGTGTCAGCTCTGGCCACAATTGTTGCTCTGGGCTCCCTGGTAACCATGACGTTGCCTCTGCACCACAGCAAAAGGCTCCTCTTACAGCTCCAGCTTACTCTGCTCTGACAGGGGAGTCAGTACAGAGCAGCACTGGGGAAAGCAAGTCAGTAAAGTGCGACACTGGGAAAAAGGGTGCAAGCCAAGTCCAACAACAACAAATTATATTTATTTAGCGCCTTTTATGTCCCAAGGTGCTGATGCCCAGCACATGGAAAGGAATTCCATTTCCCTTTTTTTCTTCAATTTAAATACCATGTTGTGATCAACAGTCTGAGCAGGAACCTACTCTCAGCACTCTGCCAACACCTCTCTTTAACCGTGTTAGAAGGTGCCTGATTTTCCCTTGTGCCTGTGGTTACATCAACTAAATAAAACAATGTAAATGCATGTAAGTAAACACATTAAATAATAAACTGCAGCACCATGTCACCAGGTCTGGGCACAGATCCACTGCTTTTTCCCCATGACTAGGTATACATCCTCAGTATCTTCCTCTTGTCTGGGCACATCACAATATTTTCTCCATCTGGGCATAGATCTGTTGTATTTTCCCCATGTCTCAGTACATTTCCACAGTATTTTCCCCCTGTCTGGACACATTGCCACATAATTTTACCCATGTCTGGGCACAGTTCCATAGTATTTTCCTCCTGTCTAGACCCATTTAAAAATGGCAGCTAATGAACTTCTTCACTGCTGGTCAAGACTGGTTCACATTGCATTTTTCTAAAAGGAGAAGCAGCTGCATGAAGAGAGGCCGCCAGCCTGCACTGACCTGTTGAAGGGCTAGCTGAAGAATTAATTGAAGAGATAAGTTTTTAGATGGGTTTTGAACACTGGGAGGGAGTCAAAGGGATTTTGGAAGAGAGTTCCAGACAGTGGGGCAAAGAATTTGAAATGTGATGGTAGGGCGGAGCAGGTGAGCTTTCAGCAGGTGTTCAGTGCTGTATATTTAAAAATCAAAGGGATGAATTTTACTGTGTTTTTTTTAAATTGATGGCACAGACTTGTTAATTTTGCTCCAATTCAGGCTATTTTAGGAGCGGGGCTTCTTCTAGTTAGTGTGCTGTACATGACATACTTACAGTTACCACAGGGAGTTCATTTTTTGGATTCATTAATTAGAAAATTCCTCCCCATCCCCAGCTGAACCTGGAACCAGTTAATTATCTGAACCGCTTTGAGATAACCTCCTGACATGAAAGGCACTACAAAATGTAATAATGATAATCCTTGCATTCGATATCACGTTGTTGAGACATCTGAAAGTGTAAAGTGGTGTGACTGTATATTTTATGGGCAAACACAGCAGTCAATATGTGCACATTAATTACTGACAAACAGCTATGGAGTGAGTGACAAATTTTATTTGGGGCTTGTTGCCAGGACACAGTGAAAAACTGCCTTCTACTAATAATTACCTTGGGATCTTTAATGTCCCCTGGACACATTGCACCTCCTACAATACTGAACACTCCAGCACTTCATTAGAGTGTCAACATAGAATATAAAGATTCCAAGTCCTGACATGGATCTTGGACCCATAATTTTCTAACTCAGAGGTGAGAGTGCTACCTACTGAGTCAGGCTAACATGCTAATGTAAATTGTGGTTAGGAAATGATGCACAATTTCAATTTCTTAAAACATCATGGAACCTAAATAAAGTCACTTTCTATCAGTTACTAAATGGAATTCATTCAGAACTCTAGAGCTCTTACCTTCTTTCTGACATTTTAAAAGACGATGGTTTCTCTTAGTTGGAGATATAAATAATAGTGATCCTTGTTTTTTATATAGTGCCTCGTCACATTGAGAATACCTCAAAGCGCTTATGGTAAAGTGTAGTGACTGTATATTTGTAGGTGGACATGACCACAAATTTGTGCACAGCAATGTCCCACAAACAGACTAAAAGTGAATTATGTTTTTTATAAATCTGAGGCATTGTTCACCAGGAACCCAGAGAAATCGTCTCTTTACGATTAGTATCATAGGATCTTCAATATCCACCTGAACAGGCAGAATAATCGTGATTTAACGTCTTGTCTGAAGGATGCACCTCCAACAATGCAGCACATCTCAGCACTACATGGGAGTGTTAATCTGGACTATGAGCATAAAATCCTGATGCGGGCTTTGAATTGACCAACTTTATTTGCAATAGGACGTTTGTGAAAAATGGCCAATCAACGTCAGGGTTAATTGAAGAAATGTCAAATACATTAATCAGTTACAGTAGCAGTGTTCTGTTAAAAATAGCTTTCAGATCTCCAACCACAGCATAAAAAGCCATGCAATGTGTGATTAAAAGTTAGTTTATAATATATATCACACAATGAATTCCCTTCTAATCATCTAAAAGATTTGAGATAATATTTTTTGTGATTTGCCTGACTTCATTCCTTTGAAGTAATAATTTCATAATAGGGTAGAGTGTTCTGTCCCTCTGATGACATTAATTCTAATTGTTAGTACCATGATCACACAACTAATGAACTCATAAGCTTTCTGTAGGTCTCCACAGGAACATTATAAAAAAACTTGTTTTAAAGTGTACATAATTTGACATTAAAAACGTAAAACTAAATTACATTTTTAACACTACATTGACATTATTTATAAGCAGAATCATAGAATCGTAGACATTTACAGCATGAAAGGAAGCCATTTGGCCCATCGTGTCTGAATCGGTTCTCAGTGTACATTCAATCCCATTGCCCCACACCAACCCCATATCCTTTCAAGCCTTTATCTATCACCTATCTGCTGACTTCTCTCTTGAAACCCACTGTAGACTCTGCTTCCTCCCTCTTATTTGGCAGGACATTCAACATCTCAACAACTGTATGGGAAAAAATCCTCCAAAGAGTTCCTTTCACTCTTCTTGCAACTATTCTACATAGAAGGGAGAGTAAGGCGAAAAATTGCACATACATACCAAATGGAAGAGAATTGAATTCAGTCTGTATCAACAACAACAAATTATATTTGTATAGCGCCTTTCAAGTCAGAAGAATGTCCCAAGGCGCTTGACAGTCAGGGATTTGGACGTGTTGGATGCAGTGCACAGAGCAAAATAAGTCTTTCATGACTATCACTGACAAGGGAAAGATGTTTTGATATGTTTGGTGTTCATATAAATTGAATTGATATAAACTGAAGTTATCATATTCCGTCATGATATGAAATGTGTTACCAATGAAAAGCCTTCTGTCATCTAACTGCAGCTGTAAATCTTCCATGTTAAAGCTATTAAATAATGAGGTGGCAGTCTCAGCATGCTGTTTGGAATTGAAAAAGGGGGTTTCATTGTATTTTGGGACCAGTACAAAAATCCTTAATAACTTTTAATTATTTGACTTTGAATAGACTTATGGACCTAAATATTCATAGTAGAAGCAAGACATTCCATTTTGTTATGTTACCGATCTTAACAGGTTCCTTCACTCAATGAAGATCATAATCTTTGAACCTGAAACGTCCTGTAAACATCAGCCCACAAGTTCCAGTGCCCATTGGTCTTTGAGGTAAAAATGGTTCTAGTCTCCCACTGTAGAGAGTTGCTCTGGGATCATTTAGTGGTGAGTTTCAGAGTGGAATCAGACAAAAATTGGAAATTTGTAGGAAGATGAAAAGAGGTCAAGATATTTTTGAAAAATTCAGAACAGAGAAGGGGAACAGAAGGTTCAGATTAAATAATTTTACAGACTTCAATGGAGCACTAGCCTACAGTAGAGACAGCTTGAGTCAGCAATGTCAAGAGAAAACTAGATAGCTATTTGACACCGAAATTGATCGAGAAATATAGAGAAATGTAGTATTATTAATTTTTGTTTCGTTTTTCACTTTATTGGTACTGGTCTTTCCTAATCCTGTAATTCCTATGTTCCCACATGAGAGTCTCGAGAGTTTATTTCATAAAGGCAACAGTAATTGCAACTTAATAGTAATACTTAAATTTTATATAGTTACACTGTGAAGCCAATTTGCATACAGCAAGTAACTTGCACTTATGTAGCACCTTTCATGCCTCAAAGTCTCAATGTCTCAAAGTGCTTAACATTTTAGTTAGAAGATAGGAGCACTAACTCTACTGACAAAGACTGCATGATTATACTTATTTTTTTGATATGGCAGATCCATTATAAATAGAAACATAGAAAAAGGAGTAGGCCATTCAGCCCATCGAACTTGTTCCGCCATTCTATAAGATCAAGGCTAATTTGTACCTCAAGTTCAATTACCTGCCCTTGTCCCGTTTCCCTTAATACCCTGCCCTAACAAATACCTATCCACTTCAGTCTTGAAGATGTAAATAGATCCAGCATCCACAGCTTTTGTGGGAAGAGAGTTCTTAACTGCCTCCTAAGTAGGCAGTTAAAAATATAAGAATACAGTTGTTTAATGACTGCAATGTTTTTTACCCATAGGTACGTACTGCAAATCTTACCTTTGAGGAAATTAAACTGTTCTTTGTACCTTTCGTTTATTAAATGATTTAAGTTTTAGCAACAAGCGCTATATTCCAGTAAAGTGTGGCTTACACCTGTGTGTGCTCAATGCCGTTTGGCATCTGTTGTTCACCCCTATATTCTGGCAGGAACCCAAGAGCAAGAAATAACGCAAGCTGCTAAATTGCAATTAGTGAAATTAATTTCTGCTGAGAAAATGTTAAATAACTTGAAAACTGATGGTATGATAAACACTTTTTATTCAAATGTTTAGTTGCTACAAATGGTGCTATTTTATCTCTGCAGGAGCTGAGAGGCATCGAAGTATAAAAATGTGTCACAGACAAAGTTAACTTTGTTATTTTGCGTTGTTAAGTCAACCTACTTGTGGGTTACAGATTGCAT